AGCATATCATATGCTTGTCCTGGAAAGTTATATTATCGTCTTAGATATATAAAACATTTTTCTCGCAGATTCAACTTGTACATTAAAGAACGACTGTTGGAGTTTGGGTATATCTTGGTTTTTTTTTTAAATATAATGTTAAAATACTTACAGATATATTAGCAGCGATATAATGCAAACTTGGATGGTGCTGCACAAACAGCTGCCCCTCGTATGCCGACTCTCCCAAATTGTCAATAGATATTGACAATTTAATTTCTTCCTCTTGACCCAAAGTGAGAGCGTAAGACTTTCCATCTTCAGCTGAAATGTAAACAGAGTTATCGATTAAAATGACGCTGTTGAACTTAGTATATTTATTTACGATTTTTTTAAAATCTAAGATTATGCTTATGCTACACTGCCTGACTACATCATTACTTGATGAAAATTGAAAATTTTGAAAAAACTAAGAAATTCTGGATATTGAAAACAATTGAGAATGCTTTCTATGCTAATGCTGCATCTATTCTTACTAATGTCATAAATACGAGTACTTACTTCGTACTAATATTATAAATGTGAAAGTTTACATGGATGGATGGATGATTTTGATGAAATTTGATATGGATTTAGAGGATAGTCAGGAAGAACACATAGGCTGCTCACTTTAGTTTTTTTTCATTACCACGCGAACGGAGTCGCGGGCGAAAGCTAGTATATTATAAAGAGGAAAAAATTGTATTTTTGGATCGCTATATGTATTTTAATAACTCAAAAACTACTTGGCCGATTTCACAAATTCTTACATGATTAAAAGTCTACGTTTTCAGTGAGTAACACAGGCCATATGTCTTTTATTTTTTTTTTAATATCACACGGACCAAGTATAAGCTAGTCAGATATTAAAAAGTTAAAAACAAACACAAACTTACATTTAGGCAGCAGCAGTACAGGATCAACGCGAAGCTCACTAACACAAATACCATCAGTGCCGCAGTCATTGAGGAAGTTGGCACTGAAGGCGGTGACCGCGGTCGCGTTCAGCACAGGGAAGTCGTCGATGTTGGGCAGCGCCTTCACCGTGGAGAACACCGGTTCTACGTTCACCAGCTTGTACGTCACAAGGAACTGAAAATAGGAGACGATATTTTTTTTAATAATATGTCTTAACATTTTCTTTCAATTTCGCTATAATTCTAACGCTGGACACTAAAACATACATAAATAAGTAATATTTTACGAGAATACTTCATGATAACACTAAATAACACATATGTATGATATGGAATGCTTACTTATTGAAGGCAATTAATTTTTGAGATTACCATAAAACGACATGTTAACACGTGTCAAGGTGAAATATTCTAATACAAAATCTATTTCTTTACCTTAATAGGCGTCTGGATGTCTCTTGTGTTATTCTTCAAGTACGCAATATGTTGTCTACAAACTTCGACGTCTTTACCCAATCGTAGTGTCATATTTACAATGTTAGTTTTCTCCGAATCCAATAATACTCTGGAATATTTCCTCCCGCCGGGGAAGGTTTCCGCTTCGATGACGTAACTAAGCTCATGCGTAATCGCTTGCGTGGATTTCACAAGCGATTTAATAATACAACACGCTTCGAAATGAAAGCAGGTGTAGTTGGAGCTAGGATCCTTAGTGCATCCTTGTCTCGAAGGATCGACATTTATAATCGTATTCGATGGTTTTATCGATGTTTTAATATCGATAATTGGTCTACTTCGAAGTAATGCGACGCTGCTCTGTAAAGTTAAGAAAAAGAATTGAGTAAACTCGATTTATGTAGGCCTAACTTAGAGATGAACATTATTTGCTACTGTTGATTGATTGTAAAAAATGTCTTACATTTTCGTAAGCGCCGACTAACAGATCGGGGTAACCGTTTGCATCTAAATCGACGCCACCAGATAGTGAATAACCAAATGTCTTCATAACCCTTGGAAGTGATTCTGCTTCTATAACTTGGTCAGGTTTCGTATGTAAACCTTTCTTTCTATCACCTAAGTGTATGTACACAACTCCATTCCCTTCATACGGACTACCGACAGCTATGTCCTCGCAGCCATCTTTGTTTAGATCTCCAGCATTAGCAATAGCTATACCGAATTGTGATTCTGGTTTGCCAGTTATCTTAACGTCGTACTCTTGTCGAAGACTATACTTGTTGTTCAGATACAAATAAACCGCACCACCGGAGTCTCTTGAAAAATAAAATGGTGCACCGACCAAAAGATCTGGTAACCTGTAAAATACCACAGCAATGTTGTAAGAATGTCAAAATTGTCCTATGTAGCTTCGGGAAAATGAAGGTTGTCACATGTCCAGTGACAAATTATCGATGCATAAAACATAAATACGTTTTTGTATAAAAAGACAATTCGCACGAAGAAACTTACCCGTCTCCATTAACATCAGCAGAAGCAACCTCATAACCGAAACTGGAACCGAACTGCTCTCCGTTCAGTGTCAGGTTATACTCCAGTATATCAATATCTGTGCGGCCCCAGTCTTTGATGACGCGTTTGCTGAAGATGACTACCTGACCGGTGCCGCGGGCCCGAGGTGCCCCCGCCGCGTATGATGGCACCGAGTTGAAGAAACCTGCGCCTGTCACTGACATACCTGGAATGTTATAGAAAGAATTTTTTTTAAGGTATTCAACATCTTGGCGGCTTGGAGGCACGAGGCCATGCGCAGATTTTAGGTGGCCGCCAAAAACAACGCCAAATTAATTGGTTTTGATGACCATCCTTGTTGGTAGATTATATTGTAAATATATTTCTTCTTATCTACCTATCTATTGTCTTAAACGTAAGGACAGATCATAGAACTACCGTGATTTTAGAAAGCTTGGGCTGTTCTATCTATCCTTCCATAGTAAACATGAATTTAGTTTTTAGACTTATTTACCGATGAAAATAAAATTTTAGAATTGTCAACTTTCTGGAAACGTTAGCTTACCAAGGTAACTATATTTTTCCACAGGACTCAAGCCATCTTCAACTGGCGCCATGTAGAAAGACATGTCTCTTTCCAGTAGGTCATCGTTAGTGTCATGTGTGAAGATTGTCCCTCTCCACGTGTAAGGCCCAGGACTGCCAATCAGTAGGGTGTCATCTTCTAATAGAGAACTGCTTGTCCCCACTTGGCAGAATCCGAATTCCTCGTGTTCTCTTAAAAAGTAACAATAAAGTTAAGCTACTAAAATTAAATAAACATTATTTTAATTGAGTAATCAGCAAGCATAACTTTTAAGTGTTTAGTAAATTGCATTTGATAGTATGGTGAAGAAATTTACTTAATCACTGATCGTCCTCGGCACGGCTCCCATGAATCTAAGAGTTGGAGATCGTTGCTTAGAGTGTAGCAGAGGCCTTGTCCAAACTGCGACTCGCCGGATTTGCGGATGTATCTAGAAAACGATCAAGAAACAAATGATTCTCTATTTTTGTCGTTCAAAACTTGTTTGCTTTTATTTAATTTGCATTAGAATGACAAAAAATTATGCATTTTGATACCACTGATAATGGATAGAATGTTTTATGACAAATCTTGTTAAAGATTAAACCCCAACTACTGGGAAACACCAACATTATCATTGGTTACGCCGTCAATTTATTAAATTCTTGATAGTTAGTCAATTTTAAAGTGGTCAATTTCCATATAAATGCAGAAATTCATTTGGTACTTTAAGTACATTCTAGTAAACATTAGCGCCAGTCATTGAGTCATGGTCATGTTATCATCAATCGAATAAACAAACCGTTTTCGATTTGACTCGAATCTATTTATAAATTTCGAACTTCGTTTCAATTTTTTTTTACCTGTGTGCGCATACAACTGCCTTCTTCCCAGGACCCTGGCTCCGTACGGAAACTCCCAGCCACTGTCCGTCCTTGATCTCATCTTCATACGGCGCAGTTAGTGTAAATGAGTCCAGAGCTAAACATTGTAAACATCGATTATAATCTACTCTTAGTACAACAAAGATGGCACCAGACATTCAAGCAACTTAAATTTTGGTTAACTCCGTATTTTACTAGCTGCAAATTAATCATTTAAAAATTTTATCAAATTGTAAGTAATACATTTTTATTTTTTGATAAAAAAAACACAATTAAAAAGCTTTCAAAGCTTGAAATTAGACACAAAATAAAATTTTAACAAAGAATAAAATTTTAATCACATAGCTAGTTAAAATAAAGCCAAAAAATTTCGATCTCTAATGTCCAATAATAATAAGCCATTTATAAAATGACACGAATATCAATTGTACCCATAAATTAGTTGCTTTTTTATAAATTCATTCCCAGTCAGACCGAATGTGGTACTTCGGCAAATGCAAAGCACTGCAGTAGGCGTGGATGATGCAAGATAAAAAATGATTTTCTGCATAGCGTAATTAATAAATCCTTGCAAAGTGATCAAAAATCCATTTTCACATTACGCAAACACCGTGCGAATGTACTACTATCATAGATGATACATGCATAACATATTTTAATCTAAAAAACCTATGTTTTGTGACAAACTAAATCAAAAAGGTGGTGACAGATTACCGCATCCTGAAAAACGAACATTAAGAACAGTGTACAATCACTTAAGTGTGGTCTCATGTTAATATACGTTATCGAAGACTACTTGTTAATTTTGAGCTGATACTGGTAAAAATTAATCGATGGCCGATCCGTTAATTCACCAAGTAAACACCAAATTAATTTTACTATTTTAATTTACTGTAAGTAATCTGTTACTGATTATGTTATTCGGCCCAGCGTTACTTCTGATTGGCTAATTGTTAGACGTGATTAATACCAGATATAATTTGGTCTTGTTTCGATATTTGATTATCAATAGTGCAATTTTTAGTTTTTTCTTTTCAATTTTCATATTGTATATGTTAAACGGTTATTCGTTAAAGTTGCCAGTCACCACGAATGATAATTTTTATGTTATATTTAATCTGTATTAAAGAAAACTAATTTAAGAAGCATTTCTACACGGTTTTGTCATTTTTTATTAACTAAATCTACTTGGTACGTTTTGTTTGAATAAAAGCTCTAAAAATATGGACGTTTTGTCAAAATCTACGTACGTAAAGTTACAGCAAGCAATATAATTTTATTGCTCGTACATTTGAGTAACTATTTTCTTACATATTAGATATTGTAATAACATTTATTGCTTCAAGTGCTCAGCTAAAGCCTGTGAGTGGGTGTTTTTGCAAGCAGTTAGTGTTGATTCATACAATTGCATTCGGGATTCATTTCTAACAGAGCAGCTACGAATAGATTATCTTTTATATATTTAGGTGTAATTTCTCTTCGTTTATTCACTACTCTATGTTGTTGGAAATGTATCTTAAATGCTTGTGATGTGATATTTCTACGTTTAATCGAAATAAGTTAGTTAACGCATGCGTTGTAATTTGATGTTTGGCTGGAACTTGCAAAATTTGGGGCTATTAGTAAAATAAAAAAAATATATTAAAAAAACAGCGATTAGTTATTAGTCGGGAGCATAATGATTAAATACAAAAGGGATTGAGACCACAGCTCACTTACTCTTGTCTATCTTGCCGTACTTCGCTGTTTGGGGCACCACCGACAAAAGACAACATTATAATTAAAAATTAAATCAACTACTTTAATAAACGAAGTATGTTCCAGCTTCTTCAACCTACAAACAGTGTAAACTCTAAATCTATTCCAGTGCCTAAATTTAGTTAAATAGTGGTTCAATGTGATCTCACATTTGAAACTAAAATGTGTTCCAACCTTTATTGAAGTGGGCTACATTCTACTCTACGTAATAAAATTAGATACATAATACTACGGAAAACTTTAATTAAATTTAGCAACAGTTCTAAGAAGTATACAGTATAATATTTACATTCATAAACAGACGCAATACAATGCTTTGGATATGGTTATCAGTAGAGGTCGAATGAGATGACACATAACGTAATGAGAGTTGGATCAATGATATACGATCGTGTAATTTATCTGCTGACCCTACGACCTGTGACCTTAATATTTACACAGTTTAACTCACTCTTTCCGTCCGTTATGATTTGCTCGCAGTCCCCTAAAGCAGGAGTTAGGCGACACCTCCATAGTGCCCCTGACCTTGTTGTGTTCGGCTGAAGGTTTTGACCCAGAGGAGCTCCGACTAGTAACCTGAAACAAGAGGTATATTGCTACATTACTTTAAAAAAAAAAACTTTAATTTTATTGCACGTCTATCTACGGAGTAGAGGTTTTAGTTTGTATTTCCGTTATTATTATGCTTAATAGTATTCTTTCCCGAAGTTTCTATATAAATAGACATAGCATTTCATGTTATTTTTAACGAAATTATTAGAATAATAAAGCATGACAAACAGACAAGTTCCACAATGAGGTGTAATGAGGCGGATATCGTTACGTCGGCCGCTTCATTACATCGTAACGGCGGCCTCTAATCATACTGTTGGCTCCACCAAACTAATCTAGCCTCATTCACCAAATTTGTATGACGGACGCGATCCCTATTATCGTATATTAAAGTAATATATCATGGGAAGGAATACACATATTTCTATACTATATAATAAAGCCTAAACACACACTTCTTTGTGGCGTAGGATGTCAGCAATCACAACTTGCTTTTGAGTAATCCTTTATTAATTAAAAAACCCTACACTTACGACACGCTATAGGCTATATATTTTCACGCTATCAAACTTAGTGGGTCAATAAATTGTAAAAAGTTTTTATAACTTCATGCTGATGAAGTAGCACGAGAACAGCTAGTTTCATATAATACTTGTTTCTTAATTGTCTGTTATTGTACAGATAAGAAAGTTTTTTTTAGTGGTAAATATTAAATCGCAATTGATATTATTGAAATATATTATGAAAAGCATACTAACCTTAGTTTTTATACGCAAATTTCTTTATTAATGCCAACAACAAACACAATTCTAATATTTACCATTACAAATCGAGAATGATAAGTATAAGCTAATTTATTTTAATTAATTATTATCAAATTTATGAGGGTAGTACTAATTAAATTAAAACGCGTTTTATGTTAATGTCTCCCGGAATTCCGCGGGTTTGCGACCATGTGGGTATTTCCAATGAACAGCCAATTTAATTTATATGTGGGGTCGTTTAACAACTTAGATTAAAATGCAGCAATTAATTGTTCCGGGCAAAATATGCAATAAAATGTTTTATTAGTACGAAAATGGATTGCTTAAATTCTTGATTATCTGTAATTGGCTGTAGATTTTTTAATACATTCGAATATATTCTTTGTATTAAGTAGTTGTAAGTTAGTTGTTTCCCGTATAAAGTAGTTTATTGTCTGTAATTTCAAGCACAGTCTAGATTAACTGTAATAAAATTTCATCTGTAACGAATTAACGGAGATAAATTCTATTACAAGTTTTCTTTCATTCTATTCGTAATATGTCGTGTGTAATGTAGTTTATTATAATACTAGCTTTTGCCCGCGACTCCGTCCGCCTGGAATTAAAAAATCTAAAATAAGAAGCCTATGTGTTTTTCCAGACTATCCTCTATATATATACCGAATTTCATCGAAATCTGTTAAGCCATTTAGGCTACAAATTCTAACAAACATCCATCCATCTATCTAATATTACGCATTTATAATATTATTAGTATGAAGCATGATTGCACTATTATGGCATAAAGTGATTCAAACAGTGTAAGGCACAATTATTATTTCAATTATACCAAATGACATAGATTGTTTATTTCTCTGATTTTCTTGTTGCGACCGAAGCGGGCAATCAATCACGTGCCAACGTATCGATTATGGCACGTGCTCGATCATTCGATTTACCCAAAAGAAAAACCAATGCGTGTTATTCGTTTTCGATTAATAGTTTACGGATTGTAGTCTTGCGGATAGCTTACGTACCTATTATTATTCGGATATATAATGTTAGAATATTCTGGAACTACTATTGTTCTGCTGTGACATGCTTTCAAAAAAAAAACCTGTACGATCTATACCACTTATTAAAAAATAAAACAAAATTAGTTTTTTGTCTCCGTTGTTAGAATAATACGTTTATAAGGGCTATTACTTTTTAAATTACAAAAGTACACCGTTAAGTACGTACTTTTCTATCATTTATTAGGCGCCCACACATAGAGGTTAGTGGCCTTTTACAATAACAATAAAGAAAGCACGAACGCAGTTATAATTAGGAGCTCATTGTTTTGCTTGATGTTGCGACATTTTTTATCTAAGCGTTACGCAAGAAAATATACGGAGAAGGCGTTTAAAGTGCGTTTATTATTTGGTACGATACGATAAAGGTCGCCGATTTTTTTTATTTCACATGTTATATACACGGTTCATAAGCATCTTAAATTTTTAATAGTTCCGTTACAATTTCAATCACATCCTTTCAGTTCAGTCATAAACAAACATATACCGTCAATTGATTCCCATAACATTCCAAGGCATTAATCAGACAATCTCGATAGATATCTTTTAATCTTCATGAAGCGACGCGTGGGAGGGGGCTTAATTTTTATAAATGCAAAAGGCAATCGGTCAGGCCCTCATGGGCAATTTACGATACAAAGGGTTCGTTAAAGTGCAACGGTGTCGCGCCCACATCATCGTATCGATCTTGCCCCCATTGGGGTACTGAGTGCGCCTACGCGCTTGTTTACGACAGCGTATGGACTGAAACAAATTACTATTGTTACCTGATAGATCGCTTACTAAATAATACGTGTACAAAATACAAAGGGTATACTTATGTAATTAATACATCGATAACTTTAATTAGTCTGAGAAGTTTAAACAATGATGTAAATCGGAAAGCTTATAGAAATATTAATAAAATAATTTTGGCTACATTGCTAAATATTAACCATCAAAAATATACATTATGTTAACTGAAAACGAGTAACTTAGTGCCTTGTGTGAAATGACTTATTCAGGCGAGTCTAATATAAACAAACATTTCCGAACAACAATTTAACATAATGTCTTTGCGAAAGGAAACTGGATCCTTCCATTAAGCGACGAAACGCAAACAACCGACCGGCGATGGACTGACGCTCCCACCGCATCCTCGGCCGCGCCTTAAACCAATAAATTCACACAAATTTATCACTCTCCATACTTCAACGATAGCGCACAACATTGCAATACCATTTAGATAACGTTCACAATAAAAATGCACTCAATCCATTTCGCCCAGGCTTGTTTATGTTTTGTTGGCACATAAAGATTCGGCAGGTTTAGTAGCAAGGTGATTTATTTTATGCACTGCTTATCGTTAATAGCCTTTGCGGGGGAATTTATCCTATTGTATATTAGCTAATTGACTTTTAACAAGGATTTGAAATCCACGGTTACTAGAAATTACTTTAAAAAAAAACAGAAAAATTACTGCATAAGGAATCATCGACTTTGTACTATTTAAATACATGAAAGAAAAAAGAACAATACCAACCAATTGAACTGATAACTTTTATTTTAAAATTAACGTCTTAAGTACAAAAGAGATTAACCGATATCTCGATAGTAAAATGGGTATTACCAATCAGTAAAGTATTGAAGATAATATTAAGTGAATTGTGAAGATGAAAGAGGCCGAGCGTGCGGGTCGTGAGCGGTAGCAGTGAATGGGATTCCTACACGTACGAGATGTACGTGTATTCACAGGCCATAGTACGGTGGAAACAGTACGGTACAGTATACAAATCTTATTTCTTTAGTTTATATCATATTGTTGCTCGCGTCTTTGTCCGCGCGGAATTAAAATTTGTAATAAAAATAGCCTATGTTACTCACTGGTCACGTAGCTTATTAATGGTGAAATTATTTAAATCGGCCCAGTAGTTTTTGAGTTTTTTCATTACATACAAAAACACACATTTTCCCTTTTAGTATAGATAATATTAAACTGGTCGAATGATAGAAATTTAAACTATTAAAGATGTACCTTAACGTTTTGTTCGCTTTTCGTTTAGAAATGTTATATTTAGAAAAACAAGATAAGCAACCTTAAGACACGATTAAGAGAAACATTGTAAGTGCTCACCGAGGGATGCGGTTTGTGGTACGACATTTAATACCTCGCAGTAAAGTTATTATTTCTCTAATAGTAGAAAATTTTTCCATTTCAAAACAATTTTAGATAACTATTTTTCAAAAAATCGAGTAATTTTTGAGAAAGAAATATTTTTATAGTTTTGTGACATGCTTCCCGACTCTTGTCGACTCTAGTCTTTACCGAAGATTTTATTCAGTAGGTGAAAAAAAAATATAGTAACTAAATACATTTTTTTACAAACTGCTGACATCTACAAGTAATTCTTTCTTGGCGTTGAACTTTAACATCCATAAAACCGCCCCTAAATTTATGTCATTGCCGTAAACGTAAATGTTTTGTAAAAAAAAGTAAGAGGAAGGAAAGCCTTGTCTCGGCCGGTGGTCCACCGCAAACCCCGGCCATTGTCCCCACGTTATTGTAAACGCACATAAACACATCCCTATAAAACTTGAAAGAGACAAACACGAGCATAAACGGATATTATCAGTTTTTTGGATTTGTTACAACTCGGAATAACTCAAAGTTTATTTTGCATTCTTAATCGTAAAAATGACAAAAAATATAACAATCGTAAACAGAAGTTAAAATGCAATCAATATTAAATTCTAATCACAAAATAATTTTAGCTCTTACAATTTAAAACATTACAAAGGTTCAAAAATTCCCACGTACAATATCACAATTCAAATATAATTTTACAAATACATTTCTCACATTTATTTAAATGAATATTACATTTTTAAAAGCACTACACTTTTAAAGACAAACGACATCGTTATTGTCATTCGAATAAGGTAAGGGAATGACATATATTTTGCCAACGACATACTAAAGTAATTTTAAAGCAATAAATTTAATTAAAACTCATTAACCTAATGTTAAAAGGACGTATTAAATCAGTTAGCGAAATTCTTCGGCCAGAGAAACGAGCATGTTGGCATTGAAATTGCAATTTCATACGAGATTTACGCAGAAAGAAGACATCGCTACGTGTAAATGTTGGAAAATAATCTTTCATGCAATTTTCAATCCATCCATCTCTTTCTAGGTCTATCTCTATGTTTAAAGAAAATATGGGTATCG